GTCCGCCAGCGACCGGTTGGGAGGAGAGCGGACTCCTGCCGGAGGATTGGGTAATCCAGGAAGGACAGAAACCCCACTCCCCGTTGCGCAGGCACTGCAAGGCTAACCGCCGTGCGGGGCTAGCGGAGAGGCGGGCAGGAGTGTGCAACAGCCGCGCAGTGCAGGACTCCGACGTCGGCCCTCTCAGTCATCCGGTCTGGGCGTCTGGCGCAGCGAGCTACTGGCAACGGCTCGTGTAAGGTGAGTGCAGGGATGCTGTCCCCGTCTTGACGGGACCATGAATGGCTGTGTGCTGCGAAACTGGCCCTTTGTCCAAGGGGTGTCGACTTGCTTCTTTTGAGAGGACCCTGCCCCCCAATTTGAGTTGTCCCCCGATGTTGGCTTGGACCCCCGAATATTGTTTCCCGAAATATTACAAAAGCATGGGGAATAGTTGCCGGAGGACGACCGACTTTTTTGGTCTTCGCAGTGCTCAAGCCATGAAGGGTGCAGCGGGATGGCTTGACCACGGCAACCTCAAAATTGTTTCATCAAGGTGCTGGGTGACTGAAGACATTGACGGCGAGCCACTTCACATTTTGCGGTTTTTGTTTTGCATATCAAACATAAACCCAGGTGTTTTCTCCCCACAACCCAAGCATGACAATGACATTACTAATTCACCCGTCTCGCGGTCTCTTTAATGCCAGGCGACATTTGGTTCCCTACCCATTGTTGGCTACGAACCGAATACTGTTTTACTTGAAGCTGAACGCGAAGTGCCTTCTTTCAATGTCTCGTGAGAAATAAAACCCAACAGCATGTGTTTTGTTGCCGCATCGTTAGTCGTGATTATGAGCACAGTGTAGATACAAGTTGACTAGCAATACGGAAAACCATTCAGGCCAAAATTCAGCCCAAAATTTTCGCACGCCGCTCACGAGCCACGAAAAAATCATAACGTAAATATATCTCGTAAGACCACGGGTTAGACCAGCGACCGCGGCGGCCCGCTGGCGAGAGCTAGGGCACGACTGGCGCTCACGGGGAGGGGGGTGCGAGTGGCAGAGCGCTGGCAGAGTGGATTTGGTGACCGAGGGTGGTCACGTGCGCTTCAGCGAGATGATCCGTCTATCCGCGTGAGCCGAGCCTGTCCCGATCCAGCTGTTGGAAGCGGCCATGAGTATCCACTTAAGTCTGTGCATTTCAGCCCTCGCCGGTCCCGATCACACTTTCACGGAAGGCATGTTTGGCTGGACTGTTCGTCTATTGGTTGATTCGTTGTTTTCTTAAACCGTTCCGAGAGCTCGGGTCGGTCAAACTCTAACTGGACCAAGTCCAGCGCGCGTGTGCGGATTTCCCTTCCGATCATGGTTTCTTGTTCCTGCATGCCGAGTCGCACGCTAGACATCAGCTGGCTTGTAGGCTGACCAATGGGCTCCTCGCATAAATATCACTCTTGGGAGGTGGCGCGTGCCGAGGCGTTTCCAGCGACGCCAGGGATAGCATGTGCAGAGGCGTCCCCAGTGGCACTAGAGATGGCGTGCGCAGAGGCATCCCCAAGCACCAGGGATGGAGCGTGCAAAGGTGTCCCCAGCGACACCAGGGATGGCATGCGCAGAGGCGTCCCCAGCGACACCAGGGATGCCATGCGCAGAGGCGTCCCCAGCGACACCAGGGATG